GTACTTATCTCCAAGTTTAGAGGATGAAATCACCCCTCGAAGAAAAGGGAGGTTTTCGTTTTTAGCGAATATGTCGAAAAGTACGATATGAAAAAATGGTTTATATAAAAGTTGTAGAGAATTTTATACTCTTTGCAACTGTGTACTTAGATTTTGCAAAATTGCAAAATTTTGTTTACCCCCTCCCCCTCCTCATTACCCTCGCAAATTTTTAAATTCTTGTTAGGATGAAAGTAAAGAGTATGAAATACCAAATTCATTCATGTATAACAATAGAAAATGGAAGTCATTAATTTGGTTAATATAGAGATGATAACATGGAGCTATAAACGCTGCGCTATAAGTAGGCGCTCCTTATTTACGTTGTACTCGATATCTCTGTATTTTCTTTTGTACAAACTGATAAAAACTCCTAATGATATATACAACGTATTAAATATCATATGAACGTGAGTTCATATGCAGTTATTTCGTATCCAATAAAACAAGTACGAAATCAGTGGATAAACTCAAGAGCGGCTTAAAAGTCAAGACACATCTATGAATTCTGTCCATAAACAGAATTGGTACAGATTCCCAGAGCTATAAACGTTATCGTGCACTTTGGTTATTGACGCACATCATTTGGTACTGGTCGACCTCACTCTTTATATCTTGAATGATTTTCTACAGTTTCGACAGATATTACAGTTCCTTTAGATGTCTTTATGTCGTTTGTTACTCATCTATACATATTGTATCGTTAAATATCTAATCTAATTACTTATAATATATATATATATGTGTGTGTGTGTGTGTGTGTGTGTGTGTGTGTGTGTGTGTGTGTGTGTGTGTGTGTGTGTGTGTGTGTGTGTGTGTGTGTGTGTGTGTGTATTTTAGGAAACCCGTACGTTGCGAAATCATCGATAAACAGCGAAGCCGTACATACAGGACACCGTTGCTATATATGCAAAGTTGTATCTGCTTACGTTTATATCGTATGTAAAACGATGCACGGTATCATTAGATTAGAATTAGATAGATGGAATTAAGTTTTTATTCGCTCGTAGATAAAATTATACTGTTATCAAGCACCACAGTCGCAGTGCAAAGCCGCGAGTGCGTTTTAAACATAAGTCCTTCAAAGTGTAAAGAGTGAAGTCGACTAGTATCAAATGATGTGTGTCAATAACCGAAATGCACGATAACGTTTATCGCTCTAGGGAACTGTACCAATTCTGTTTATGGACAGAATTCATAGACGTGTCTTGACTTTTAAACCGCTCTTGAATTTATCCACTGATTTCGTACTTGTTTTATTGGATACGAAATAACTGCATACGAACTCACGTTCATATGATTTTTAATATGTTGTGTATATCATTAAGAGTTTTTATCAGCTTGTACAAAAGAAAATACAAAGATATCAAGTACAACGTAAATAAGGAGCGCCTACTTATAGCGCAGCGTTTATAGCTCCATGTTATCATCTCTATATTAACCAAATTAATGACTTCCATTTTCTATTGTTATACATGAATGGATTTGGTATTTCATACTCTTTACTTTCATCCTAACAAGAATTTAAAAATTTGCGAGGATAATGAGGAGGGGGAGGAGGTAAACAAAATTTTGCAATTTTGCAAAATCTGAGTACACAGTTGCAAAGAATATAAAATTCTCTACAACTTTTATATAAACCATTTTTTCATATGCTTCGTACTTTTCGATATGTTCGCTAAAAACAAAAACCTCCCTTTTGTTCGAGGGATGATTTCACTCCCTAAACTTCGAGATAAGGACATAAAAAAATATGGGTCTAATATTTTTTTATGTCCTTATCTCGTAGTTATAATCTTTATAACATATCCAAAGCCCATACAAATCGGTGACGGACACCTCCGACCGCCCCTTGTTAGTTTCTCACTACGAAGACCTTGACTGATACTGTCAGAAACAAAAAATAAGAAATCTCAAAATTTTTGCAAAATATATTAAAATAAATAATAATTGCGATCGATTAAATAGATATTAAAATACTCCGAAAACTTCTCATTCTGCATTAATAATCAGTAAATAGCTGCAAAATTAACGTGATACGTGGCCTACTTTATAATTACGTGATATTGTTATTATTTTACGGCTATTTTTTGATCATTGAAGCAAAGAAAAAGTTCCCGGAATATTTCACAAATTTACTCGATCAATCGCAATTGTTATTTTATGAATGTACCCTGTATAAAATGTCCTATTTAAAAATATGGTTTCGCATTCACGAGATTTCGTCGTGAATTCTGCTTTGCGGAAATCTCGGATTAGATCGCAGGCCAATACTTTTCAATGCTACGGGGAATAGAACGTGAAAATCTTGTATGCCTCTGAATCTGAAAACAATTAGGAGAAGTAAATACTTTTCAATGCAAAAGTCCGCATTTAAAAATTATCGATTGCAATTGAATGCAAGGCATATTTGAAATGAATTGAATCTTTTTTGAAGCATTCATCACTGCCTTTTGCGAAACATTCACCACTGCCGTCTCGCATTTAGCGCGGTGAAATTTAATGGGAACTAATACTTTTCAATCCCTTTCTTTGGATCAGAAAGCAGAATTCAGACGTATTTAAAATGTCAATATTTTTTAATACATTTCAATTCGACATTTTATATAGAGTATCATTTTATTCAATGTATTTTGCAAGAATTCTGAAGATGTATTTTTTCGCTTCTGTTTAATATCATTAATTATGGTAACAGCAGCGAGGGAATAAGAACCTTTACGATGATAACACTAATCAGATAAATTCTTATTTTATTCTAAGAAAATCTTAAATTATATAAAAAATATGTAAATATTGAATTATATGAAAATATATAATATGAAATTATAGACAATAGAAAATGTGTTAAAATATATAAAATATGTAAAAATATCAACTTGTAAAGTAAATATTAGAGTACAGTTGTAATGAGATGCATTAAGAAAAAAATACGGAAATATATAAATTGCAACATAATATTCCATGTTTTAGGCATACATAGTCCGTATCGTTAAAAAACAATTGGGAATGAGGACGTTAGCGATCGGCGATGGTGCAAATGATGTTAGTATGATACAAACTGCCGACGTGGGCGTAGGTATCTCAGGTCAGGAAGGCACGCAGGCAGTGATGGCAGCGGATTTTGCGATTTCCCGTTTTCCCATGCTCAGCCAACTTCTTCTTGTCCACGGACATTGGTGTTACGATCGTCTCGCCAGAATGATTTTATACTTCTTTTATAAGAACGCCACGTTCGTCTTCCTTATATTCTGGTTTCAGGTATGCAACAAAACGTGAAGGGACAAGTAAATACAACAAAGACGAAACAAAATGACAAATAAAAAAGAGAAATATAAAAACAGATCAAACTCTGTAAGATAGTTTTAGACGGAAAAGTTATGTTCATTTAAGGAATTAAAATATCTATCAGATAATATTTCTTTCTCTATTCCTTGTAGTTGTACTGTGGCTTCTCCGGTGCCGTAATGATGGACCAAATATACTTAATGCTATATAACTTACTGTTCACCTCGCTACCGCCTCTCGCTTTGGGCATTTACGATCGGGTTGCCACATCTCATGTATTACTCTCAGCGCCAGATTTATATAAAAGAGGACGCTTAGGACTAGTCTATCAAACGTACTCCTTCTGGATTACGATCATTGATGCTCTGTATCAAAGCATCGTCATCTTCTTCATTACAAAAGCTGTTAGTACCATATAATATAAATTATAAAAGCTGTTAGTACAATATAAATATAAAAAGTAAATAATAAGAAACGTGATTGTGACTGTATACTATAAGACCTTGTTGCTGTCTTTCAGGTTTATTATGACTCAACTATTGACATATGGGAATTTGGTACAACTATTATGACGGCGTGTATCGTCGTTATGCTGCTTTATGCTGCCATAGAAACTAGATCTTGGGTAAGAAAATAATTGAACGAAAAAAGAAAGAGAGAGGAAGAAAGGAAGAAAATATTATTAACGCTCCTATTTTTATCGTAGTCATTTGCCATTAATCCTCTACGATCCGAATTGTTTTCGACTTTTTCCCTATATATTATTAACTTAGTAAGAAAAATGTTATGTAGTATACCAGCAAATTGGCAACAGGACTTCCAGTGTGTTCTATTCAAGTACATTGAAATGGTTATAGAACAACAGAACTTGTTTGATTTTTGCTAATAAGCTGCTAACAAAATTTAGAACAAACACTGCTTCTGCAACATGACTACTTAATAATGAATAGAAAGCTAATATTTTAACCTTTCGCGATATAAATAAATACTTGATTTGGTTTCTGGGTTGGTACCATGTCCATCATGAATTTGTTTCTAATATTTCGTGAACATTCCAATTCACGTCTTCAAGGGAGAAGCTTCGTGCAATTCGGAAACCAAATCAAGAATAAAAAACTGATTCACAGGATTTACTAGAATGAAACGCAATGTTGAGGTAGATTTAATGTAAGGTTACAAAAGATTGATAATATCAGAATCAAGAAAAATGCATGTTCAAAGCTTTTTGCAAAATATATTTTGAACATTCCGTTGTGTCATGGTGTTATCCATTTTAGACTATAATTCATATTGGTGCCATCATGGGTTCCTTGGGCGTATTCTTTGGATTTTGTCTATTTTATAATGCTGTTTGCGTCAATTGTATGGGTTTACCCGGATCCTATTGGATAATGGAAAAGGCTGTTACACGGCATATGTACTGGCTTACAGTGATACTTACATCAGTCCTTGCTTTGATGCCTAGGTATGTAACTCATAAATTAAAATTGTTGATACAATCGTACGATATTGATACGTATTTATAAATCGCGAACTTAATGTTGCTTTTTCGTTTCTCAACAATCAAAAGATTAATATACAAAGCTGTCGCCGTTATTGCGCCGGGCACTATGCAAATCGTCTCGCTCAACATCGCTGCAAAGAGCGGCACGCAAGTTCGTCGGCAACGTATTAGTCAAAGAGGCGAAGTCAACTTTATTGCTGGATGGTCACGCTCCTCACAGCACGCTACCATCAGGTATATCCTCATTACACTCTTCAGTTAATCATCGCTATTCAATTATGATCAATAATAGTCATGTTTCGCATGGTTTATCCGGAGTGTATCATTAATTATTCATTATAGACCTGGCACGTATAGCAGCAAAAGCGACGCTCTCACAACCATCGTCGCGTAACAATCATCAAGATGAAGCGTGTCTATCTCATTAACGTTGAAAGTCAGCAAAAAAAAATGGGAAACATCTTTATTGTCGCGATTCTCTACGAGATGTTCTACGTCTTCTTTCGCCAATCTGGAAAATCTTCTCTGACTTCACTGACGGTTATTCGCCTTGATCCTTGACAATCTTGTTATATCCTTCTCGTAGGTCATTATAGTTGTAGTTACTAAGTAAATATACGCGAAAGGAAAGTTAGCTAACGGTTGATGTAGTTAGACGTGAATAATATGTCATGTTTTGTCGACTATCAAATCATATGATGCAAATTAAGAAATGCGAAAACGTTGAAAAAACACAACGCGCACGTCATCGTCGTCATCGTCGTCGTTGTTCTCGTTCTAGATATTTCACGATAACGCTCGTTTGATTGCCATACCTTATACGAGTTCTCGCGGCTGATGATTTTAAATCGAGTGGCCTTATTATCTCAGATCGTTCACTCATTTAATGGCTGTGACTTCTAGGGACCAAGACTGTTGATTGAATCGCAGGCAATCGAAGGTTTATTCGGCGACTTTGAGTGAAAGTCTACGCGCTATCCTCGACCATTTTTCTCGACCAGAACTTCATCCACAACTTTATTATTTTTGAATGAATCATATGAAAGAAACATATGAACATGTATCGAACATTCTGTTTATTTTCAAAAATAAATGTACAAAGATGTTATATACAGGGTGTTCATTTGAAAACTTTCCAGCTAATTATCTCGAAAACTATGAAAGATATTAAAAAAGCTAAAACACGTGTTCCATGATTTCGAAGGAGAAAGAGAATAGCATTATCAGTTTTTTATTTAGAGGACATTTTCAAGATCAGTTGAAGGTTAACTTAATTTTTTTAAATAGAAAGCCCAATTTTTTATTATATCTTCTTTTTCTACCAATTAATTTTAACAACTTTTGTCTGAAACATTTTTTTATTTGCCTAATATTTTTTGAAATATTTAAGGAAAACTTGGCAACTTTTTCAACATTTAACTTACGATATCTCGCTAGCTATTCGTCGAAAGAAAAAATAGGATTAGACTTTTTTACTTTATTTACTATCAAGAATATATTACTATAATAGTACCTTAATTTTTGTTAACTTATCGACTTTTGGAAATTTCAAAATTATTAAATTAACAAAAGTTAGGACACTATTATAGTAATATATTCTTGATAGTAAATAAAGTAAAAAAGTTTAATACTATTTTTTCTTTCGACGAATAGTTAGCGAGATATCATAAGTTAAATGTTGAAAAAGTTATTAAGTTTTCCTTAAATATTTCAAAAAATATTAGGCAAATAAAAAATGTTTCAGATAAAAGTTGTTAAAATTAATTGGTAGAAAAAGAAGATATAATAAAAAATTGGGCTTTCTATTTAAAAAAATTAAGTTGACCTTCAACTGATCTTGAAAATGTCCTCTAAATAAAAAACTGATAATGCCCTTCTCTTTCCCCTTCGAAATCATAGAACACGTGTTTTAGCTTTTTTTAATATCTCTCATTATTTTCAACATAATTAGCTGGAAATTTTTCAAATGGACATCTTGTATAATAAAGAATGTGCAAGTGTATATACACATGAGGTGTTCCCGCGAGGTACGGCTCGACCACCTCGTAAAAAAAAGTTTTACTAAGATGATTTATCTTTTTTTCTTTTTTTTATATAGGTATAAATAAATTTTCAGCTAAGTTACATCATTAGATGTTATGCCATTTGTATAGTAAGAAATAAGCGCGGATGTATTTAAATAACGAGACTGTATCAAGTTTCTTTTATTTCCGGTCGATCTGCATTTGACGAAATGTCTCATATAAATATAATACAACGTTATATACGTGCTTTGTTACATCTATTTGTTGTGTTATTACCATTGTAATATGAAAGAAATGTTGTAAGATATAGAGCTTTTATCGGATAATGTATATTGAATGTTACATTGATAACACGTTGCATGTGTCTAATAGTATTTTGATAATGGTTATTGTTGTGTGCGCGTTTACCGATGTAAAGAGAGTGTTATGGTATTAAAAACAGATTAACTTTTCATGGCTTGTATCTCGTTTCTGTTAGCCTAACTTTTTTACACAACATCCGTATATAAACTGCTAATTCGCAAATAACGCTATGGTAATTAAATGCATATTCCATGAGGTTTCAGCAATCGCCAAACTTGGCGAGTCAATTCTTTTTGTATATATTGTTATATCCGTGCTCCGATGTCTCAAAGTTATGAGCTGAGTGTCAACACAAATTCCAAAACTCGGACTATAGCTAGAAAGTGCAATTTGGGAGCTCATCCAGGATATCCGATCCTGAGAAAAATCGCGATTTCGTACACATTCAATAAATAAAGACACCAGGATAAAGAAAGGATAATAGGGAGTTTTTACAATATCGTCTCTCAGATATGGTAAACGTAAATTGTGAACGTTATTTACTCAGAAATAACGCCATGTATGCGACCAATAGCATTCACGATTTACGTTTAACGTATCTAAGGAACGGTATTGCAAAAACTCCCCAATATTTAATCTAGATCTGCATAATCAGAGAGAAACCTGAGAGCGACCACCAGGTCGATTACACTGGGGCGCTTTTTCCGCCGAATTCCGACGCGCCCCCTGAGAACATGTGTGCACACTACATCCGTCCTGACGGTAATAGCAAAGCGTGCAGTGTTCTTGTTCACTCTATTTTCCTTAAGGGGATCCTGGAGCGGCGACCGAACTCCAGTGGGATTGCGCTCTCATCTGAACAGAACTAATAATGTCGGTAATACCAACACTTACAGTTTCGTTATCGACATTTATCGATATGTACATATAGACACGTTTCCACGTATATTGCGAAAATATACATTGGGTGCGTTCACAGCACTCAAGAGTTGCGCAACTGTAATTCGTCAATGTTATTGGTCTGAATGTAAAGACTCATCTACATTAGCTGTAAAGGCTCGTCTACAATAGTTGTAAGAGTAAGGCTGTAAGGCTGCAACGTAAGCTGTCAGCGAATAAAAATATTTCATTTCGTGTCTTGCAACCTTACAGCCTTACACTTACAGCTAATGTAGACGAGCCTTAAGAGTAAGGCTATAAGCAGAGAGAAGAATGAGAGCGGCCACCGGCCGTATTTCGGGAGATATGGCTAGGCGCATTTCAGATACGCCATCTGACCAAAATGCGCCTAAACTACGTCCGCTAGGCGCACTTTCGCAGTGATAAAAGTAAAATGCGCCTAGGTTCGTGTCCGTACTACTTCCATGCAATGGATAGTAGATTAGAAAAAGACAGACGACAGACAATCGTTCCGTCTTTGTCTCACTACTGAGCGGCGCGCGGCAGTAAACACGAGGCGAGGTAGCGGCGATCTTATCGCTAAGCGAACATCTCTCCGCTTTTCTTTCATCTTTCACGCTCCAGAGCATCAAAAGACGCGGTAGCGTCTCGTGTCAAGGGAACGTGCGAAGCGAGGAATTATTTTTCACGCACGCGAGGTAGCACATGGGAGACTAGACGAGCGTCGACATATTATCTGTTTCTTTTCCGCTCGTCTAGCTTATTGACTGCGTGAGTCGCGAGATTTTTCTCGCTACTCCTATACCTCGCTCTTTCTCTCTCTCGCGCACTTGCTCGCTCTTCCTCTCTTCTCGTGTTCTTACGGCTTGATTAAATATATTAATTACATGACAATATATATATAAATAAATGACACATACATAGTGTATATGTATATAAAGAATATTTAGTATTAATGCACAAATAAAGAAGAGAGAATTATAATGAGAGACGAAAAGTTAATAGAAATCCACTCTTAGCCAATATATACATCTTTTAAAAATGATTTGTTATTAAAGTATATGACAGAATAATTTATTTATGCTAATAAATTTAAATTAAAAATTAAATGAAATGTTATTTGTCTTGTAAAAGATATTCCATTGTTACATTTTTCTTTTCGTAGCAAAAATAAATTTAGTCTAGTAAAAAAAGAAATTAGTTTTATTATCATATTTCAATTACGACTTTATTATTTAATTTTACGAATAGATAACGTGCATATTGTTGCTCAACGGAAACCGCGAGAAAATGGTGACCTCCGTCAAAAAATAAATGCAAATTTTTTAATAATATAATTTTTTTACGTAAGTGTTTGTTTTTATAGTATAACCTGTTGAATTTTATTAATTATTAATTCAGCATGTTATAGTATAAAAAATATATTTTAATATAAAAATTAATGTAATATTAATTGTTTGCATTTGCAAGAAATATGGATAGAACAGGATAGGTTGCAATGATACATAGGAAGAAAAAAGATAGATGGATAAATAGATAGATAGATAGATAGATATAGAAATAGATATAGGTGGATAAATAGATAGACAGATAGAAAGATAGATAGATAAATAGATAGATAGATATAGAGAAATGGATAGATAGATAGTTAGATAGTATAGAAAAAAAGATAAATAGAAATAGAAATATAATTATTATTATTATTATTAATGTTTTCAGTTTCAAGAGAACATTCGCTTAAACGTAAGTCTTACTTAGGTCCAGTTTCACGACTTATATTATATTAACCGGAATATATTATACGACTTATATTATATTAACCGGAATATATTATACGATTTATATTATTTTAACCGGAATATAATTCGTTAATATTAGAAGTACCGAGCGGTTATTTCTGATCGTTTCTATTCTTTAGATTAATGTCCTGTTATAGATAATATTTATAATCGTAACATCGTGAAAGATGCCGATGATTGAAAAACGCTAAGATTTAGTTTCATAATTTATTTTAACCGGAGTTTAAGACTTATTGAGACAAACTTGCATAGTCATATTGTTCATATGCATAACTGAAGTAGAACAAATAATTATATAAAAGTGAAGATGATGTCAAAATTAAGTTAAAATAATTTTGACGTTATCTTGACCTTTGATGATTATTTGTTCTAGAGAAGGAAACAGATTAATTAAATGTAAAATATGTCTGATATAAAAGGCACGCTTGTACGGATTATGATTGGTTGATTTCCTTGTGCATATCAATGATGCGATTATGTAATTTTGTTGAGATAGGCTTTTAAAGAGTTGTCTTATTGAACCCGACAAAAAATACGTATATTTCGTTAATTTTTTTTTGCGGAAGCGAAAAAGATCACATGATTAAAAGATTACGGGTTTTGAGAGTTTGCTTAATGATGTTTGAAGAATATATATACATTTTTCTACAAGTATGTAAGGTTAAAAATATATAAAATATTGCAGTAAAAGCAAAGAGGTTGCAAATAGACGATTCCAAGGAATTTCTAAATGTGTGTGATTTAATTTTATACAATTATTTAAAGTACCTTTTTATTTTCTATAAGTATAGCTATCGTCTGAACTACAATCGGAACACAAATAATAAAATGGTAGCATTTAGAACAAAAATCGTCTATTTCTGGCCTCTCGGTAAAGTTTAATAAAAAATATTAATTATTAATGAATTTGGTTAATTGTAGTTAAAACGGTAAAAAGAAGTCTATTTTATAATGCTGCCAAGTTGCAAGTCGATTGGTCAAATAGTTATTGAGATATCGTGCGCACTGTGGAACCTCCTTGCTTTCACTGCAATATTTTTCATATTTTTAATCTTATATGTAGAAATTTATATACATTCTTTACAAACATCACATTCTTTACAAACAAACCCTCAAAACAAAAATCCTGTAATCTTAAAGAAACAGGACATTAATCTAAAGAATAAAAACGATCAGAAATAACCGCTCGATACTTCTAATATTAACGAATTATATTCCGGTTAAAATAATATAAATCGTATAATATATTCCGGTTAATATAAT